GACCTTCAGCGCCTCGGCTCCAGCGCCATGGCGCCCTCCAGGAAGTTCTTCGTTGGGGGAAACTGGAAGATGAACGGGCGGAAGCAGAGTCTGGGGGAGCTCATCGGCACTCTGAACGCGGCCAAGGTGCCGGCCGACACCGAGGTGGTTTGTGCTCCCCCTACTGCCTATATCGACTTCGCCCGGCAGAAGCTAGATCCCAAGATTGCTGTGGCTGCGCAGAACTGCTACAAAGTGACTAATGGGGCTTTTACTGGGGAGATCAGCCCTGGCATGATCAAAGACTGCGGAGCCACGTGGGTGGTCCTGGGGCACTCAGAGAGAAGGCATGTCTTTGGGGAGTCAGATGAGCTGATTGGGCAGAAAGTGGCCCATGCTCTGGCAGAGGGACTCGGAGTAATCGCCTGCATTGGGGAGAAGCTAGATGAAAGGGAAGCTGGCATCACTGAGAAGGTTGTTTTCGAGCAGACAAAGGTCATCGCAGATAACGTGAAGGACTGGAGCAAGGTCGTCCTGGCCTATGAGCCTGTGTGGGCCATTGGTACTGGCAAGACTGCAACACCCCAACAGGCCCAGGAAGTACACGAGAAGCTCCGAGGATGGCTGAAGTCCAACGTCTCTGATGCGGTGGCTCAGAGCACCCGTATCATTTATGGAGGCTCTGTGACTGGGGCAACCTGCAAGGAGCTGGCCAGCCAGCCTGATGTGGATGGCTTCCTTGTGGGTGGTGCTTCCCTCAAGCCCGAATTCGTGGACATCATCAATGCCAAACAATGAGCCCCATCCATCTTCCCTACCCTTCCTGCCAAGCCAGGGACTAAGCAGCCCAGAAGCCCAGTAACTGCCCTTTCCCTGCATATGCTTCTGATGGTGTCATCTGCTCCTTCCTGTGGCCTCATCCAAACTGTATCTTCCTTTACTGTTTATATCTTCACCCTGTAATGGTTGGGACCAGGCCAATCCCTTCTCCACTTACTATAATGGTTGGAACTAAACGTCACCAAGGTGGCTTCTCCTTGGCTGAGAGATGGAAGGCGTGGTGGGATTTGCTCCTGGGTTCCCTAGGCCCTAGTGAGGGCAGAAGAGAAACCATCCTCTCCCTTCTTACACCGTGAGGCCAAGATCCCCTCAGAAGGCAGGAGTGCTGCCCTCTCCCATGGTGCCCGTGCCTCTGTGCTGTGTATGTGAACCCCC